ATGAGACTTAGACCTGAGTGCAAAAATGGAGGCTCTAGACCCTTCCAGAGCTGAGATATCGAAACTCAAAATTTCGACCCGAAAAAAAAACGACAGTGTTACCCCTTACGTTTTTTTTTTTTGGGCGAAAAATTAAGTTTCCCCAATCTTCTCAAAACTCTGGATTCTGATAGAGGGCCATGAGACTTAGACCTGAGTGCAAAAATGGAGGCTCTAGACCCTTCCAGAGCTGAGATATCGAAACTCAAAATTTCGACCCGAAAAAAAAACGACAGTGTTACCCCTTACGTTTTTTTTTTTGGGCGAAAAATTAAGTTTCCCCAATCTTCTCAAAACTCTGGATTCTGATAGAGGGCCATGAGACTTAGACCTGAGTGCAAAAATGGAGGCTCTAGACCCTTCCAGAGCTGAGATATCGAAACTCAAAATTTCGACCCGAAAAAAAAAACGACAGTGTTACCCCTTACGTTTTTTTTTTTTGGGCGAAAAATTAAGTTTCCCCAATCTTCTCAAAACTCTGGATTCTGATAGAGGGCCATGAGACTTAGACCTGAGTGCAAAAATGGAGGCTCTAGACCCTTCCAGAGCTGAGATATCGAAACTCAAAATTTCGACCCGAAAAAAAAAACGACAGTGTTACCCCTTACGTTTTTTTTTTGGGCGAAAAATTAAGTTTCCCCAATCTTCTCAAAACTCTGGATTCTGATAGAGGGCCATGAGACTTAGACCTGAGTGCAAAAATGGAGGCTCTAGACCCTTCCAGAGCTGAGATATCGAAACTCAAAATTTCGACCCGAAAAAAAAACGACAGTGTTACCCCTTACGTTTTTTTTTTTTGGGCGAAAAATTAAGTATCCCCAATCTTCTCAAAACTCTGGATTCTGATAGAGGGCCATGAGACTTAGACCTGAGTGCAAAAATGGAGGCTCTAGACCCTTCCAGAGCTGAGATATCGAAACTCAAAATTTCGAAAAAAAAAACGACAGTGTTACCCCTTACGTTTTTTTTTTTTGGGCGAAAAATTAAGTATCCCAATCTTCTCAAAACTCTGGATTCTGATAGAGGGCCATGAGACTTAGACCTGAGTGCAAAAATGGAGGCTCTAGACCCTTCCAGAGCTGAGATATCGAAACTCAAAATTTCGACCCGAAAAAAAAACGACAGTGTTACCCCTTACGTTTTTTTTTTTTTGGGCGAAAAATTAAGTATCCCCAATCTTCTCAAAACTCTGGATTCTGATAGAGGGCCATGAGACTTAGACCTGAGTGCAAAAATGGAGGCTCTAGACCCTTCCAGAGCTGAGATATCGAAACTCAAAATTTCGACCCGAAAAAAAAAACGACAGTGTTACCCCTTACGTTTTTTTTTTGGGCGAAAAATTAAGTATCCCCAATCTTCTCAAAACTCTGGATTCTGATAGAGGGCCATGAGACTTAGACCTGAGTGCAAAAATGGAGGCTCTAGACCCTTCCAGAGCTGAGATATCGAAACTCAAAATTTCGACCAAAAAAAAAACGACAGTGTTACCCCTTACGTTTTTTTTTTTTGGGCGAAAAATTAAGTATCCCCAATCTTCTCAAAACTCTGGATTCTGATAGAGGGCCATGAGACTTAGACCTGAGTGCAAAAATGGAGGCTCTAGACCCTTCCAGAGCTGAGATATCGAAACTCAAAATTTCGACCAGAAAAAAAACGACAGTGTTACCCCTTACGTTTTTTTTGGGGGCGAAAAATTAAGTATCCCCAATCTTCTCAAAACTCTGGATTCTGATAGAGGGCCATGAGACTTAGACCTGAGTGCAAAAATGGAGGCTCTAGACCCTTCCAGAGCTGAGATATCGAAACTCAAAATTTCGACCCGAAAAAAAAAACGACAGTGTTACCCCTTACGTTTTTTTTTTTTGGGCGAAAAATTAAGTATCCCTAATCTTCTCAAAACTCTGGATTCTGATAGAGGGCCATGAGACTTAGACCTGAGTGCAACAATGGAGGCTCTAGACCCTTCCAGAGCTGAGATATCGAAAATCAAAATTTCGACCCGAAAAAAAAAAACGACAGTGTTACCCCTTACGTTTTTTTTTGGGCGAAAAATTAAGTATCCCCAATCTTCTCAAAACTCTGGATTCTGATAGAGGGCCATGAGACTTAGACCTGAGTGCAACAATGGAGGCTCTAGACCCTTCCAGAGCTGAGATATCGAAAATCAAAATTTCGACCCGAAAAAAAAAACGACAGTGTTACCCCTTACGTTTTTTTTTTTGGGGCGAAAAATTAAGTATCCCCAATCTTCTCAAAACTCTGGATTCTGATAGAGGGCCATGAGACTTAGACCTGAGTGCAAAAATGGAGGCTCTAGACCCTTCCAGAGCTGAGATATCGAAAATCAAAATTTCGACCCGAAAAAAAAACGACAGTGTTACCCCTTACGTTTTTTTTTTTGGGCGAAAAATTAAGTATCCTCAATCTAACTCTGGATTCTGATAGAGGGCCATGAGACTTAGACCTGAGTGCAAAATGGAGGCTCTAGACCCTTCCAGAGCTGAGATATCGAAAATCAAAATTTCGACCAGAAAAAAAAACGACAGTGTTACCCCTTACGTTTTTTTTTTTGGGGCGAAAAATTAAGTATCCCCAATCTTCTCAAAACTCTGGATTCTGATAGAGGGCCATGAGACTTAGACCTGAGTGCAAAAATGGAGGCTCTAGACCCTTCCAGAGCTGAGATATCGAAAATCAAAATTTCGACCAGAAAAAAAAACGACAGTGTTACCCCTTACGTTTTTTTTTTTTTGGGCGAAAAATTAAGTATCCCCAATCTTCTCAAAACTCTGGATTCTGATAGAGGGCCATGAGACTTAGACCTGAGTGCAACAATGGAGGCTCTAGACCCTTCCAGAGCTGAGATATCGAAACTCAAAATTTCGACCCGAAAAAAAAAAACGACAGTGTTACCCCTTATGTTTTTTTTGGGGGGCAAAAATTAAGTATCCCCAATCTTCTCAAAACTCTGGATTCTGATAGAGGGCCATGAGACTTAGACCTGAGTGCAACAATGGAGGCTCTAAACCCTTCCAGAGCTGAGATATCGAAAATCAAAATTTCGACCCGAAAAAAAAACGACAGTGTTACCCCTTACGTTTTTTTTGGGGGGCGAAAAATTAAGTATCCCAATCTTCTCAAAACTCTGGATTCTGATAGAGGGCCATGAGACTTAGACCTGAGTGCAACAATGGAGGCTCTAGACCCTTCCAGAGCTGAGATATCGAAAATCAAAATTTCGACCCGTAAAAAAAACGACAGTGTTACCCCTTACGGTTTTTTTTTGGGGCGAAAAATTAAGTTTCCTTAATCTTCTCAAAACTCTGGATTCTGATAGAGGGCCATGAAACTTAGACCTGAGTGCAACAATGGAGGCTCTAGACCCTTCCAGAGCTGAGATGTCGAAATTCAAAATTTTGACCAGAAAAAAAAAAACGACAGTGTTACCCCCAAGCGGCAACCTCCCCGTCTCTCTCTTGAAGCCAATACGGAAGTGAATTAAAGTAAACTGCAATTTATCGAGTGGCCGCTTGAGGCAGGCTGCAGAAGCGAGTCAAATCTGTATCTCCCCCATGTTAAAATGCCCAACTTTACAGCAGAAAAAAACATGTTTACAGCCTGGAGCAAAAAGTGGCTTTGGTCTATAGAGCTCATTTTTCCCTTCATGACAACTGTGAGGGGGGTGAATTTTTTTACAACTCATCTGTTTAAATTATATTTAAGCCTTAAAGTTCTGCATAATTAAGGGCGTGGCCACTTGAGTGACAGGTGGATTCATGCTGCCGCTTTCACTGCTAGTCGTTTGTCTGCTGTCTGTTAGCGTCACCCTCAGCTGTGTTTCTGCTTTTCCGGGATTATTTCATACAATTTAATACATGTATTATACCTTCGCCCGTGCACGCCGTTGGATTCCGTCGTGTTGAGTATGGAGAGAACAACCAGCACCGTGTTTCCAGCTGTTTCCCTCGCATGCACTAATGGATGTCTGATGATTTCAGCGCGTTCTCTCCGTCCATGCAATAGATGCACACCCTTGAATGAGCGCGGATTTCTAGTTCATTTACTTGAAGTTCTGAGGTAATATTTGGTTTGACCCATCTGAGAGGCGGCCAAAATTGGATTGTAAAATGGACTGAATTAAAGCTCTTTACGAACTTGACGTGAGATGCCGACTGACATGTGTGCTTGCCTTGAATCACTGTCGCATGCACAAGCGAGCAATACTTATACATTTTAACTAGCAGAATAATAATGCATCACAATGCACATAGTTGACTGCTTGTATGTTGTGAGAAATGTGTGATCTGTGTTAAGTTGATAACACTACAGAACGCATCTTTGCGTTTAAAAAAAAGAGTTCTTTTTTTAATTAAAAGGGCTGAACTTGAGGGTCTCGAGACACGTTTTGAGAAGTGATCCAATAACCAAAATGACAGAAATAGCCAAACAGCAGAAAATATATTGAAAATCTATATACATTTTGAATATCAGAAACTTGCTACAACAAACGAAAGCACGTCTCCGGACGGGGTCTCTGATTGGTCACTGTTTTGGAACTAACACTGCCCAGATAGCAAATTGGCCTTGGGCCGGATCTGGCTTAATTTCGGCTGAGATTTTGGCCCACATACCGCATGGAATTACGGGCCAAGGTTGGCCCAAGTGCTGTTTGCCGTAAGTCAACCAGATCAAAGCCGTGAGCAAACCAAAACTTGCCCAGAGCTTTGCAGTGTACCCAGATATTACCCAGAACTGGGCCAAAACAACACCGTACTCCCCATATGTCAGCCAGACAAAAGCCAAACTGCCACCACCTTTAGGCCAGAACTCAGCCACATCTTATCCAGAAGCTGCAGAAAACAGCCATAACTGGGCCAATATTATACCAGAGTCCCCAAAACTGAACCAGAAATTATTCCTGTGTAAAACAAGGTATAATAAAAAAAATGACACTACAGAAATGCAAAGAACAATATTTTATTGAGAAGGGAAGAAAATCTCAGCCAGATAAAAGGATAAACAACAAAATACAAGCCAATACTAGAGTAAGACAAAACAAAATATAACTATAATTCACATTACAAGAATAATAAAAAGACAGCAATAAATTAAAATGTTACAAAAATGTGTATGTGGCATTCTTAAATAATGAGATACAAAAATTAACAAAAATATGTTGGCCGAGAGATCTCAAAGTCCTGCAACAGAAGAAAACATGCAAACAAGAAAAACACCAGCAAGTCAAGACATCAGTTTCACAACACACATGCTGCAAATACAATGCAAACAATAAATAATAATAAAAATAAAACAATGAACACCATTGTCGAGTAGATATTTGTTGGTCGGACATTTGGAGAGCATTTATGTATTTGGTTGTGTTTTAGCACATGTGATAAAGATGTTCTTATTTTACAGGGTTTTTTTTCTGTTTTCATCCATTTTCTTCTGTTGCAGAATGTTGAGACCTCTCAGCCACCGTACTAAAAAGCAACAGAAACCAAGCAATACATTAAATTCATACAAACAGTAAAGCAAAAGTGTAAATGTGTCATGCATGCCACACCACCACTGCTATGACATGCTATAGTATCCTTACACTAACAGTAAATATATGATGAAAAATACTAAATGAAATCTTACATCTTATTAAAAATACTAAATGAAATCTTACATCTTATTAATCGGTCATCACTTGAGAGGCTTTTTCTCTGTGGTCTGGGTGTTTCATGATGCCATGGTGACTGTATTGCCTGTCTGTGAGACTGTAAAGTTAAATCCTGTTGCCTGCGATGTTCTGTGAGGTCTTGTGAACTTCTCTACTTGCCATGCCTGCAGTAGCCTCCTCATCGGGGTCATTTTCATCCATTAGTCGCCTGTTTCATCTTTAGGAAAGGTACATTTTTTTAATGATTACTAAATTTGATTAAGAAAGTGTGGTATGGTCATGTAAAGACTATTCAGTCACAAATTCCCTTTTTGCAATTCAAAAAGAAATGTGCATTATAATGTGTTAAACTGCACAAATATATAAGGACCTGTAAGAAAGGTCTATGTTAATGAATTAACGTTAAAAAATAATCAATCTTACTTTATTTTCCGCTTTGGTGGCATCAGAAAGATCAGCTGTTGTTCAGCAAGAAGCAGCTTCCGATGTTCTTCACTATAATGTTAATTTTCAATGAAAAACAGAATTCAAACATCAATTCTATTTCCTCTCCAACATAAAAGCAAATAAAATCCAACCACACAAACCCCCCAAAAATCGTATCTAGTAATGCGCTATAGATTAAAATCCACGTGTTAAGATAGTGAAAAACTATAAACTTACCTTGATCATGTATTAAAACTTCAAAAGATAAAACCAACACAGCGTGATTGTCGAAGTTAGAACAACTAACTTAGTTATTTGAATTTTACCGCGACTGCGTTGAGTTGCTGAATAGCTGCTACGCAACTTCCGGATCCTCTGGTAGGCGGGATGGTGTCACTGGGTGCATTCTGGGAAAAGTAGTCTTTTTTGCAAAGCGGATTTAACACTGTACATGTAAATCAACTACAATTTCCATGATGCATTGCAAACCAGATTGTATCAGCAGCCACAGACGTCGCATCGACTGCCGCGTGGTTTGCTCACACTGCTCTAAAAACACGCAAGTTTCCCGGAGATTTTTAAAAACAGAACCACGTTTTATTTAACCGATTTCAATGGTTTACGTGGAGAACATAAATGTTTCTTCTCCAAATACTTACTATAGGCTATGTATAGGCTATTTTATGGAGATTATATAATTTTTTTATTGAGGAATTGTGAAAACTCAAAGCATGGGTGGTTTTTGCTTCAAAAAATCATAGTTTAACCATGGGTTTTTGTAGTACATCTGTAGGCTACCTAATAAATTCCCCAAAAAGTGAATGTGTGTGTGTGTGTGTGTGTGTGTGTGTGTGTGTGTGTGTGTGTGTGTGTGTGTGTGTGTGTGTGTGTGTGTGTGTGTGTGTGTGTGTGTGTGTGTGTGTGTGTGTGTGTGTGTGTGTGTGTGTGTGTGTGTGTGTGTGTGTGTGTGTGTGTGTGTGTGTGTGTGTGTGTGTGTGTGTGTGTGTGTGTGTGTGTGTGTGTGTGTGTGTGTGTGTGTGTGTGTGTGTGTGTGTGTGTGTGGCATATTGATTACCATTTGGATAACCACAAAGTACTCTTTCAGTTCCATTCAATCTTTTGTCTATGCTGCAGACTGAACCATTTGTCTTCAGTCATTTTGCAAACATCTTTTTTTTCCATTCTGCAATCTGCACATTATCACCTCCTTAACCCCCCCCATTAAAATAATCTTGCCAATAGAATAATCAAGGCTTCTTTCCTTAAAACCTGCCTACTTATGTGTAAAAGAGAACTATTTGAATACATATCTATATGTATTTTTAACTAGGTCTATAACAAACTTATTTCATTTTATTATTTTTAACAAAATTAACCCTATTTATGAGGTTGGCTGCATTATAATTATGTCTAAAATATGAACCAATTTAACACCACATCTTACACGGCTATTTTACAGTACAGCACTTTCATGAGGTCTGTTATTTGCTCAGCCAACCAAAACCCAACCAGATCTCAGCCAAAAATTTCCTTATTCTGGCAGACCGAACTCAAGCCAAAGCTTAGCCAAACAGATACAATTTGATTTGTTTCTTTTGGTTAGCCAGACTCCAGCCAGAGCTTAGCCTAGTACTGTTTGACACAAGAGTGTGAAAAAAACAGTGCCAGAATTAAGCCAGAAGTGCCGAATATAAGCCAGACTCGGCCCAGACTTTGTTGCTATCTGGGTGATGAACAGCGCTGCTCGTAAAAGTTGAAATTCTTTTAAAAAACGCACCTCTCATGCAAAAGATGTGAGCGCATTGTTTAATGCATATGCATTAAATCATGTTCACTATAAGTTGTGTGTTCATGTTCACTATAAATATTCTTCTTTTTTTTATCTATTTGCAGTAATAGAGGTGAAAGCTCATAACGTCTCATTGGTTATCAACCAGAACATGTTCCTACACAGTGCACGTCTGAAATCAGGGACATTGCAGTCCATATGATAAGAAACTGAGTGAACAACTGCACATTCAACAACAGACACACCTTTCTAATATAACTATTGACATTTCAGCATGTGGATTCCATGCGTGGGCCGGATCTGGGCTGACCAACCCGATCTCACGACCAAGTCGTACGAATTCGACGAATGATTAAAAAGTGGCTAATTCGTAACAATTCATACAACCTCACTCGTACGAATTAATACGATTTTGCTAAATCGTACATATTTTACGAATTGGCCAATTCGTATGAATTCGTACGAATGACCTACCCCTGACCCCGCCCCTAAACCTAATCATCACGTGGGTTTAGACAAATCGTACGAATTAGTACGAGTGAGGTCGTACGAATTAGTACGAATTAGACACTTTTTAATCATGCGTCGAATTCGTACGAATTGGTCGTGAGATAGTGTTGGGCTGACACTATGTTGCTGTCTGGTATGTTGAGTTTGTCAATCACACATAAATATTGTACAAACTTTTTTTTAGGGTTCTAAATCAAAATCCTTACAACCTCCTGTATAATTTCTGAAAAAATATTCTGCCTGCTCCTTCAGCCTGACACTCAACGCATTCTCACCCCAAGGCGTCACCTTTGACCACAGTGTTGTAGTCGAGACCACCTCACTCGAGTCCGAGTCGAGACCGAGACCAGAGACGGTCGAGTCCGAGTCAAGACCGAGACCAGAGACGGTCGAGTCCAAGTCGAGTCCAAGACCAGAGATGGTCGAGTCCGAGTCGAGACCGAGACCAGTGAGGGTTGATTACCTAATTTACTTTTATTTACTTAGAGAAATCCTTTTTTTATTTTACTGAATTTACTTAATAATTTAAGTAATTTTTACTTATAATTTAAGTACATCATTTACTAAAAAATATGATCAGTTTAGGGTAAAAAGGCCACATAGTAGGTGGTGTTAAAAGTAATTTTATTACAATTTGTCATGCGCAGTTGTGCACTAGAAAATCACCAATCACTGGGCGTGTCAATCAATTTAAAGAAATATTTTATTAACATACATTAATAATCATGAAACATATTTTGAATTGAACTCGAGTGGACTCGGGAATAAGTCCGAGTCCTAAAATTTTTTTTTCGAGTACGAGTCAATTCCGAGTCCAAATGCACACGAGTCCATGACAAGACCAAGACCATTAAAATATGGTCTCGAGACCGAGTCCGAGACGGGTCCGAGTCTCGAGTACTACAACACTGTTTGACCATGCTTCAATATTTGACGTTTTAGGCGCCCTTTAGCGTCACTTACATGACGCGATCCTACGGCGTCATCTAACTGACGCTAAAGGAAAGCGTCAGTTAGAGGACGCGGTTAGGTTTAGGTGTGGGGTGGGGGTAGGGTACACGCGATCCTAGGGCGTCATCTAACTGACGCTAAAGGGCGCCTAATGCGTCAGATATTGAAGCATGTCCAAATGCTTCCCAAGGCGTCAGTTAAGTGACGCCTTGGGGGTGAGAATGGGCTGTGACACTGTATGTCTTTTCTGACTTAACTGACAGAACTATCACATTGACATTTATGACTCAATTCTTAAAAAAAAGAAAGATCCAAATTGATTTAAATCCAGAAAAAAAAAAATGTTTGTTATACACTGCATTCAAGTGTAATCTTACAATCACCATAGCTCATACTAATTACGCATGACCAAATCAAGACTTAGTCCCTTGAGATTACCAAGAGTGTGTCAATGGCAAAAATAGTTGAAACACGAGAGTTCTGTAGATAAAATGACTGTGTGTGTCAAGAGATCATCTTGCAGGTGAAGTGTGACCTGCAGATAATGAAAGCCAAGAGTCGATTACACAGGGTTGGTGTGTCTGTGATTCACCGAGAGAGCAAGCCTCAGCAAGAGATTGGACCTTACCTTTAACCTTAGCACCAATCAATGCCTTGCTGTCTGCCTGATCTAATCACAGGTCAAAGTCCCTTCCACGAAGCACTATCAACAGTGTGTGTTTGTGCTGCTCACTCTTTTCCTCTAAACGCTTTGACTTCATCTGTCTCCCCCTTCTCCTTGGAGCCCACAGACCTCCAAGGACCTGTTGTCAGATCATGTTTCCACGCGCGCTGCCGTTGCTTCTGCTATGTATCTCCACAGGCTTGGCTGCCACACTTATCCAGGCCTCTGTTGCAGAGGATTCGCCGGCTGATGGGTCAGTTTTACCTGAAGCTCAAGCTGGTGATACCCCAAATGTAGATGCAGAACACATCTTGATGGCAGATGCCCCTGTTGAGGGAAAACCTTCAGAGACCCAGAGTACCACACAAGAATCTGAGGATGATTCAGACTGGGGCTTCGGTTCTATCAGAGGGAGTTTCCAGGCGGTGAATGGCTATTTTGACTCTATACTGGAGCTGATGGGAGGCCGGGATGGTGTGTGTCAGTACCGCTGTAGACATGGTGAGTGAAATAGTATCGTCTTACACTTCTGAGATTGTGTCACACTATATGCTTTGGACAATAAAACAGTTCACCCTAAAATGATTTACTCACTTCAAAATGATTTACTTTTTGGTTCTTTATAGATGTGTTCACCATGAACTGTCATTGAATGTTAAAGAAGAGTGTGTACAATCCTTTTGTGTTCCATTAAAAATAAGAGAGTATAAGGAAGGTGAATAAATGAAGAGTTCAGATGCAAAAGCCTCTAAATGCCATTTGAAATTTTCTTCTAGAATTATCATTTTTATCAAACTTGTATATTTAAGTTCAGTAATTTCACTTAAATGGCAATGATAATTACCTATTAATTGTTATTTAAGTGAAATTACTGAACTTAAATATACAAGTTTGATAAAAATCATCATTAAAGAAGAAAATTTCAAATGGCATTTAGAGGCTTTTGCATCTGAACTCTTCAAATAATGATTTCATATTAATGTTTGGATGAACTGCGTTTAAGCTTGGGTAGTAAAACTTAGTTTAGCTTACAAAGCTAAGTTCAGAGTTGAATATTAACTAATGTGTGATACTAATGAAAAACAGAATTCATTTTGTTGATAAGCTGAACCATCTGAAACATGCCCTCACTGATCTGCACTCAGTCCTCATGTTGACAGATACAGTGGCATTGGGCAAGTAGATCACGCCACTACAGGATACACTGATGACAACACTGATACCTTGACTCCTTTATATTACTTTTCTGGTTTCAGAATGACAGGCTTGCACTATTTTTCAAAAAAAAAAAGTGTAAATGGAATGCAAATTAATATAACTTTATGCAACCAGAACAAATCCATACATTGTACATATACATACATGAGTAAGTGCACATTTTCATTATTCTTAATGTTTAATGTTGCCCGAGAATCATCGGTATCGGCCTATGTACAGTTTTAGCACAATAATTGCATAATACTTAATGAGGGTTCATAAGTCACACTGTGACTGAACATTTGGTAATTGAGCCTCGACTGAATGCTAAAGCTAAGATAATAGAGTAGTTGTAGTGTCTAATCTTATAATGAAACTAATATTCCATGGACCTTCTTTTGCAATGATAAAGAACATGCTCTGAAAACCAAACATGGACATGTTTTATACTGTTGCACCATGCAGTCAATTGGAACGCTCCATGTATAAATTAATGCATTCCATACATGTTATATTTATCTGTAATTAACCAGGCAATTAAAATTGTTACAGAGAAAATAATTAATTAAATCTTGCTTTATTTAGACAGCGGTTTGATGCTTTGGAAAAAAAACTGATCATATATATATATATATATATATATATATTGACATTGGAATTCCCCAGGGCTCCATTTTAGGACCTCTGCTGTTTTAATTTCACATGTTTTCAGGATTTCTTTTTTCATAGCTATGCAAGCGATACACGACTGTACCCTTCTATTTCATCTGATAACACAGTCTCATCTCAAGACGTCATATAACTGATGTCTTGGGACGTCTTTTGACCATACGTCAACATCCGCCTTTTAGGGTACCCTTAAACGTCGGTTACATGACGATCCCGGGCCGTCATACAACTGACGCTTTACCTTTAACGTCACTTAGGTGACGGGGTAGGTTTAGGATCCGATAACGTCATCTAACCGACGTTTAAGGGTACCCTAAATAGGCTGATGTTGACGTATGGTCAAAAGACGTCCGAAGACGTCAGTTATATGACGATCTTTTACTGAATAAGATTTTAACAGTGTACTGAAATTCTAAAAAGGAATCTGCAGGATAAAAATGTTTGGTCTCAAATGTTAAATTTGTAGTATACAAAGCATTAATTGATCTGTATACTTGTTAAGATTCAGCCCCTTACAAGTTTGGTTTCAAGAAATAGTTATACACTTTTAAAAATAAAGGTTATTTATTGGCTTCTTGTTCCATGAATAACCTTTCACATCCAAGCAACTTTAAATGTTCTTCACACTAAGAAAGTGGTTATTTTAGCAATTGTTTACTGGAAGGTTCTTTAGGGAACCCAAAATGGTTCCTCTTTGGCACCACTGCAAAAAAACAAACAAAAAAAAAAAAAAACTTTTGCAACCTTTAATCTTAGTGGATCTCAGGGGTCCACACATCAATATACTGTATATCTGCTTTAGATTTTCATCAAATTTGTAAACAAAATTCTTAAATCCACTGTTATGTGAAATATATTCTAATGAAGATCACTAACAATCTTCTATATTAATAAAGATATGATATATTCTATATTCCAATGCATCATTTTTGTTTTTCAGGTAAAGCTCCTCAGCCTCGTGTTGGCTATCAGATGCCAGAGCCTGATGGTTGTAGCACCAGTCTTCTTGGTTTCCAGGTACCGAACAGTGTATGTGTCCCTTAATCTCTACTAACATTAACCAGTGGCCATCCACCATGAATGTGAACCACGAATTACCTGTGGGAGTCCGGCCTATGAAGTGTGCGCTGGTCAACAAATCAATCAAACTTATCATTAAAGGATCCATCGAAATCAACCTGTTAATGTTTACATGTTAGAGTTAGAAAGAAGAGAAAATTAGATCATTTTGTGCAATGTGTATCTGATAACATAAAGGTGGCCCTGCTTGTTTAAATGAAAAAAAAAGCACTGATCAATGACTTTGGGATTCAAAGTACAGTGACTTATATAAAGCGTTGGCCTTTAGAAAATCTGCCAGGTTGGCATTAAATCTGAAAAAAAAAAGTAATAATTTGAGGCATTTAGTACTAACAGGTCAACTAGACTTGCTAGTACAAGCCAACTTTGAAAAACTGAGTATACTTCACATCAGACTTAGACTGTCTCTTCCTTTCTAACTGGGTGGTTCTTGGCCATATTAGTTCCGATGTGGACCAGACCTTAAGTTATAGCATTAAGTTAAAGGCCTGACAAAACTTCAAATATGTGGCTCCTAAACCTGAGAGACTAGCAAGGACTCTGAAGAGAGAGGGAACATCCGACAGGTTCTGGACAGTTGGCATCCAGCCAAAGCGTCAGGAAAGAGGAAGGTAAATGTGCCAAATTCGTTCCACACTAGACTCCTGGACAGCCCTCTGTGTAATTTCTGGCTTTTCATCGTAATTATGAAGCTTAAGGTGTCCACTTATAAAAGGAATATATCTGCATTCTCCTCTAGTATGGGCGACAAATGTAATTGTCTTATGTTTCAACATTATAATTTAAGATGTGAGACTAACCACCGTTGTAGCATCCCTTAAAGGGATACTCCTCTTTTTTTGGAAATAGGCTCATTTTACAACTCCCCCAGAGTTAAACAGTTGAGTTTTACCGTTTTCGAATCCATTCAGTCGATTTTCTGATATTTAGAAGAATATCAGTAACCAGCCAGTTTCTGGTCTCATTGACTTCCATAGTAGGAAAAAGAATATACTATGGAAGTCAATGAGACCAGAAACTGTCTGTCTGGTTACTGATATTCTTCTAAATATCAGAAAATCGTCTGAATACATTCCAAAACGGTGAAACTCAACTGTTTAACTCTGGGGGAGTTGTAAAATGAGCCTATTTCCAAAAAAAAGTGGAGTATCCCTTTAAAAAACCATGGCTAAATCAAATCAATTTGTATTTTTAGCCTGGCACAAAACGAACATGCGTATCACCATAATACAGTATATTTGCAGTCTTTGCTTACATTGCAAAGCAATTAAAATCACAAAATGTTATAATTGCTTTATAAAGTACATTTATAATCATTACCGATGTAACAGCCTTCGTTGTCATTGGCTTTTGGCTTGCTTAGTTGGGGACATTTATTGTAATATTCAACAATAATATTGATCTGCATTGACACCATCATATGAGAACTGAACTGAGCTGAGCAGCTATATATAAATTAACTAAATTAATAACTTTATTGCAACAATAATGAAACATCACTGAATGAACTTTATTGCAATTTCGTGTTATCTCTGTAAAGCTGGTTTGATACAATCTGTATTGTAAAAAGCGCTGTATAAATAAATGTGACTTGACTTGACATGTATAGACTTAAAATACATAACATTGTAATATGAGTTGGGAATTGAAAGGATGTACAGGTAGTTCCATTTTTTTGTGACTAACAAGTTCTTTGTGTGTCTGCACGTGTGTGTTTGTTTGTTCAGTGTCATCCCAAGAAGTCATATAACTGACGCCTTGGGACGTCTTTTGACCATACGTCAACATCTGCCTTTTTAGGGTACCCTTAAACGTCGGTTACATGACGATCCCCGGCTGTCATACGTACAACTGATGCTTTACCTTTAACGTCGGTTAGGTGACGGGGTAGGTTTAGGGGTTAGGATCCGATAACGTCATCTAACCGACGTTTAAGGGTACCCTAAAAGGCGGATGTTGACGTATGGTCACCAGACGTCCCAACGTTTGGGATGAGACTGCGCTGGTTTGTTAACAGTACAACTAAAATCGTAACCCATTTTCCTTATACTGCATATTCCTCTCTTACTGTATTTATTAGACAGCACTGTAGTGTATTACTCTGGTTTTAGTACAACAGTAATACCAATGGTAGTTTTTAGTTAATTGGTTTATTTTGGACCAGACTGCAAAAGTTCTAACGCGCATGTTGTGTAATGTGCTGTTACTCCACAGTTTGATATGGGTGTTCCAGCCATGACCAAATGTTGTAACCAGCTGGACATTTGCTATGAAACCTGTGGCTCTAACAAGTACCGCTGTGACACCAAATTCCGCTGGTGCCTCCATAGCATCTGTGCTGACCTGAAGAAGAGCCTGGGCCTCATGTCAAAGGTTGAAGGTGCGAAATACTCACATATGCAACACACACTTCAATCCTGTAACAAAACCTAGTGAGCTGAGACACATAAGCTATTCCAAAGAGTCCCTGAACAGTTCTACCGCAGAAGCCAATCCCATAATGCAGGCCCTGTCCACACTACTGCATTTTCGTTTAAAAACGGAGACCTTTTGCTACGTTTTCACCTCCTGTCTAGACTGAAACGGAAAAAATGATCAGTTAAACAGAAAGTTTAGGAACGATTCATCTCCGTTTTGCGTTTTGAATCTCTGGAGGGCATTTTAGTGAAGAAAGGACAAAACGGAGGACTTTAGAAACGATGACGCAGAGACTCACCCTCGGCTCTATGACTGGGTGTCATCAGTCATGACGTGTCCTTGCCTGATTCGTCAACCACTGTTTACACCGCCACGCGCATGCCCAGTGTTGGTGACTAGTCACGTGATCCACTTTTCCAGTCGTTTTAATGTGGACGGAGATCAATTTTAATACGCAGATAAATTTTTGGCTGATCCCTGATGCGATCACGGGCAGCAATGCAAAGTTGATTCTGCACTACTTTGATCGGTCCCACTTTATATTAAGTGGCCCTAATACCTGTGAACTTACTGTACATGGTTACTAGATATGTACTTAGTATGTAAGTACACACATTTGTACATAGTATTTACAGCTGTAATATGTGTGTAACTACATATATGTAATAACACACTGAAAGGTATGGGTAAGTACAAATGTGTAACAGGACATTAGTAACAACACTTTTTTCACTAGAGTAAGTACACATGTGTAACAGGCATTATGTAAGTACATTTTGTAACAACAATGTATTTACACACGTTCATCCACTTCCACACAGTCTTCAATAAGCACTGAAACTCCATTGAAATCGTGATGATTCCGTAAGTTGTGGCCGTTTCACACATTGTATCAAGTGCAGAGTTACTGAGGAGTTACCATGTAACACTGTTAGTGTTGCACAGAGGTTTGTGTTTTTTTTTATATTACTCGTTAAGTTGAAGTCGTTTTAGACTGCATCAAGTGGACCATTCCTGAGGAGTTACAACGTGAGTAGACTGTTAATACAGTGTTGTACAGAGGTTTGGGTTTTGTATAATACACAGTAAGTTATGGCCGTTTTACACTTTGCATCAAGTGCAGAGTTACTGAGGAGTTACCATGTAACACTGTTAATAGAGTGTTGCACACAGCTTTGGGTTTTGTATATTACACTGTAAGTTATGGCCGTTTTACACTTTATATTAAGTAGACACTTCCTGAGGAGTTACCGTGTAAGTACACTGTTAATACAGAGTTGTACAGAGGTTTGGTTGTTTTTATTATACACAGTAAGTTATGGCCCTTTTACACTTTATATTAAGTAGACACTTCCTGAGGAGTTACCGTGTAAGTACACTGTTAATACGGAGTTGTACAGAGTTTTGGTGTGTTTACTATACACAGTAAGTTATGGCCCTTTTACACTTTATGTTAAGTAGACACTTCCTGAGGAGTTACCATGTAAGTACACTGTTAATACAGAGTTGTACAGAGGTTTGGTTGTTTTTATTATACACAGTAAGTTATGATTGTTTAACACATTCTATCAAGTGCAGAGTTACTGAGGAGTTACCGTGTAAGTACAGTACACTGATACCACAGGGGGAAACTTTAGCTGTAATTCAGCGCGAGTCCTGCCAGTCATACAATAAATACATGGTATACACAAAGGAATTATCATGATTTCAGTGGAGTTTCAGTGCCTTCCAAACTAGTAACTACAGTATTGAAGACTGTGTGGAAGTGGAACAACGTGTGTAAATACATTGTAGTTACATAATGCCTGTTACACATGTGTACTTACCCATACCTTTCAGTGTGTTATTACATTTGTGTAGTTACACAAATATTACAGCTGTAAATACTATGTACCAATGTGTACTTACACTGTACTTACATACTTAGTACATATCTAGTAACCATGTAAGTTCACAGGTATTAGGGCCACTTAATATATATATATATATATATATATATATATATATATATATATATTTTAACGTTGTAATAAATCGCTAAAATTAATGAATATTTGAGACAAAGGTCTTGTTAATGATTTGCAGTTTTGTTCAAGCGACTTGAAAACAAACAGTTTTTCAATAACGGAAGAATATGTGAAAGTTTGGTATTTGGGGTAAAAGGCGCCCCGGCTGTTGGGGGGAAAGGCACAATCATTAACATGATAATAAATATCTGGCTGACTTTACCGTTTGTTGACATGACGTGGTTAAATTCAGATATCGTATATTAAGTTTGGGAGCCCACCTTACAGATAATCACCATATTTATAAAGAAATCATCATATTTAAAATTATATAGTAATTTAATAATGGCTAATCATATAATATAATAAAATATGATTTAATGTTACTACTGTACATCTAAATAAAATTGTTGTGGGATCTTATACATTGCTTTTAGAATCTTTACTCTTTTTTAAAATAGTTTAGTTTTTGTATTTTTAAAATATGTATTGTATTAATATATTTAAATGATAGTATATTTATTGAACAAAAAAATAATTCTTTTATTTTCAAAACAAACAGAAAATAGTGCAAACTTTGCTAAAGTGATGAACAAGTCTTGAACAAGTATAACGTTAGACAGGATTAAAAACACATTATTTTTGCTTAAGTTTTTATGTCAATGCTGTGTGCCTTTTGCCCCATGCTGGTGAGCCTTGCATAATAAGCATAATAAACCACTTTTATGATTTATTTTCACACAAAATCTGTTGGTCCATAAACGTTCAATACCAACATATTTTTTCTGCAATCATACACTATGGGAATAGTGAAAAGCAAGTATGCAGTATATATACAGTATATATATATATCCTCTCTCTCTCTCTCTCTCTCTCTCTCTCTCTCTAGCATGCGAGACCTTTGCGGATACCATGTATAACACTGTGTGGACTTTGGGCTGCAGGCCCTTCATGAACGGCCAGAGGTCATCCTGCTACTGTGAAGGAGAAGAGAAGGATGAGCTGTGAAGACCTAACCACAGAAACACCACATTCAACACATATAAAAACTTTACAGGTTTAAACTACTCCACATAATGGGTCAGCATAACCATGAATCTCATTAAAACACACCCAGGTCACATTTCACCACAAAAATTTAACAGTTTTATTCTAGATTCTAATTATTATAATATTTATCATACTATTGTGTCATATAAATACTACTACTACTACTAATATATATATATATATATATATATATATATATATATATATATATATAAATAATTTAATTTATGTATCTTTAGTTTATTTGCATTGCAGCAAGAGAATTTTTAACTTTTTAAAAGTTACTTAACTAAATATAAGTAACTTTTAACTTATATTTTTGGGGTCAAATATGACCATTACATGTTCTTAACATGCTCATGAGATTCACCCAGTAACCCTGGTGCTTAATGGATCCAATTTAGTAAAATAAACACAAAAGATTTTATATTGTGTGTAAAAGGTTCTCATAAATGTGTAGCGTGTGTGCTTGTGTATGGGTTTGTTATATAGGAAGAGAATATCCATAGTCTCAATTTCATATGTACAAAAACATATGTATTCATTAAAGTTAATGCTAAAGATTTAAATAAAGAGCTCATTAGAATGTAGAGAACAGGAAAATTGCCAAACAAACTTCCCAAAATACCTTTTTAACATTAATTGTACTATTAAGAAACAATGTTCCAAACTAATTCTCCAACTTAAGTTGTTGTTTTATTGTGGCCTAATCAAAAGGGGGGTGGGGGGTTGGGGGTTAGCCTCAGTAGGGTAGTGATATTTATTTAAACAACATTGTTTAATTGTCTGAATGTCATATGCTGAAAACTGAAATGTTAACCTAAACCAAATAGTTAAATTTTTTTTTGTTTGTTTTAAATGTAATTACATGTAGAATAAGTGTTGAACAGTGTTACACAGGAATGTTTATTACCCTGTGAGAGACTATGTGACTACAGACTGTTAAAATGACCTTTATTTGCTGTTAAATCGTTTTATTTTCCCCATTAGTAAAACAGAATTGAACATACAGTAAATGCAAATTATCCATGTGTAAAATGCCATGTCATGTCCTAAGCTGTATTGAAATGCTCAGACTATTAATTGCAAACACATCATCACCTACAGTAAATGCATATTTGGGTCTGGTAAATGAGGTTTATAGTGTCAGAAGCAGTGGAAGGAAGCATTATATTACATGCTTCTTATTACTCATAAATGTAAGATTACTAGTTTGCATGTATTTAAATACAGTAAAGTAGCCTGCAGATGGCGTTGTTTTCTTTATGTAGAAATGTTATAGATGTGTGTGGTCTCATGGGTCTGGCAGTATCAGAATGGGTCCGCTGGACAGGACGTCTTGCTCTTGGTGCTGGTCGGTCCAGAGATGTCGCCTCAAACGCTTTCTGCAACCCTGCGTACAGCGAGATTCCCCTTGTGCCTGCCCACACACCAGCACACGGCAATGCAGGAACACCTCCTAACACACAGTACGCATAAAATAACTCATTTAATGACCCACTCGTTCTCAGCCACACTCATTATAGCCACCTCATTAGCACACATGCATAGGACACACAAGGCAGCTGAATTTCCCAGCATGCATCTGATCCCTACTCACTCTGTTGTCCTTGCCGATGAACTTGAAGACGGGGACCTGGTAGTGTTTGGAGAGCTGGTCTTTAGCCGAAAGCTGACGCACTGTTTCGTCTGAAATGCAGCTGGGAAACATAAGGCCATTAAAGCACGACAGTCTCTAAATATAGACTCTGCCTTTGTGTAAAAGTGCTGTAAGCAAATTTCCTCAAAATATCACACATAAATTATACCGATAGATATGACATAACACTCAGGTGTATTTTTTTAAGCAATTCAGAAAACACCATCTGTGCCTTTTATTTCTCTGTGCCTTATATTCAGGTTTTGGAGAGGGATCTTGTGGTAGAGGGGATAGGACGGTCTAATTCAGTGGCTAGTTGAAGTTAGCAAAATTGCTAAGTAAGGGATAATGCACATTATCCAGCGTATTACTCGGCTACTTGCCACATAAGTAAATAATTAGACACAAACTATTGGTCCGAGTTGAAATATTTGATTAGGTCTTTAAACGCAAAACTTCAGTGGAGAGAACAGTTAGCGCAGCAGTTGCTAGCGCGGCAAGTTCAAACTACACGGACATTTAAGAGATACAATCATACCACTGTATTACACAGCATTTCGCCATATAAATATGGAGATAAGAAATATTGATTTCAGATTAAATTGTTTTAAAATTGTACTGTTTTTATCTCACACTAATCCTAAAGTGTAGGCTACAAAACAGTAGTCACAAAATGGCGGCGCAACGTTTATATGAAACGAGAGAGAAAGTCCACGATACTGGATGGCATAATTAAATAGATGTACACAAAATGTTGATTCGACTGAGTTTTTATGTTTTATTAGCTAAACTAACAAAGTCTCTTGGGACGTCTTTTGACCATACGTCAATATCCGCCTTTTTAGGGCCCCCTTAAACGTCGGTAGATGGCGATCCCGGGCCGTCATACAACTGACGCTTTACCTTTAACGTCAGTTAGGTGACGAGTAAGTTTTAGGGTTAGGTTTAGGTCTGGGGTAGAGGATCCCATAACCTCATCTACCGACGTTTAAGGGGGCCCTAAAAAGGCGAATATTGACGTATGGTCAAAAGACGTCCCAAAACGTCAGTTATATGACTTTTTGGGATGAGACCGGGTTGGCTAAAAAAATCTAAAACTTCCACAAAGAAAAACCATTCCTAGCAAGCGTACAGCGCTGTTGACTTCAGTAAACCGGATTAGTCTGTGTTATCTGTTTTCAGAAGTTGTTATCTAGGAACATACCGCTGGATTGACCAATCAGAATCAAGCATTCCACAGAGCCGTGTAATAAAATGACTTATAAAACGGTTAGTTCCAATCCTTGATTCTGATTGGTCAATAGCTGTGCTTTATTCATGATAAAACACGGCTATGACCGCTTCACCCAACAGTTCTATTTATCACTGCGCAACACTGCGGTTCCTATGTTGTTTTTATTTGAGCTTTCATGCATATTACACATTGGAGCTTTGTTGCTGTTCATGGTCAGGGACTATTTTTTTTCTAGCGGAAGGAAGGCTTTTAGTGATATTACTTAATGAAAGTTGCACTAATAATTTTTTTTTTACTTTAATATTTTTATTGTGTAGTAAACGTATTATAAAATCAAAAAGGTACTCGAGGAAAGTGCTGTATCTGAAGAAGCAACAGCTGAAGGGGTTGCTGTTTCGTGTCGAGCCTAACAACGCCCTTCAGCCTTGCTTACTTATAGCACCAGTCATGGAGTATACAGTGTGGTATTGGGAGCATACAGAACAGTATCCCTTCATATTTTAATTCTCTTGAAAACCTACCCATCTTTGATGAGGTAATATTTTAAGGCCTGGTCAGCCTTGGGACCAGGTGTGGCAAAACAGCTTTCAACAAAGGCAGCAAGGCCATCGACCCGCTCTCGAGGCTCAACGCCGAAGTACAACGAGTCACGCAGATGCAGTTGAGGAGGTTGGTTGTACGGTTCAGAAAATTCTGCGCTTTTAAACAGCTCCAAACTGAAGGGGAATATCCCTTCGCTGTGTCCCGCTAACTCCAGCGCTGTTTTGCTCAGACTCGGCAGGTATCCATCTGACACTTCGTACTGCCGCGGAAACTCGCACGTAATTGGCAGCAGTAGTTTACTGGTGCGCACGATCAGATCACCATTGTTGCTGGGACTGGACCGGGGCAACCCTGTCACCAAGTTGGTGCCAACGATTTTGTCATCAATCACCTAAAGCAGAGAGAAAGGGAAAGGATTTTCCACTACATTCGCTAAGAACTATCAAGCATTTTGTAAGTCAACATGTAATACTGTTTCCCATCAATTTTCCTTCAGTAAAGTGACATGGTAGGCTGGGATTGTATCCATTAGGGCTGCAATGAATGGAACCAGACCTGAATGTGAGCTTGTTGTGGTTTTTCAAAGAATAACACTTGCCTTGCAACTTGCAAGTACTATACTATTGAGGAGACCTTAGGTCTAGCCCTAAGGCTTACTCTATAATAAATCTGGTAACACTTTATTTCGATTGTCCACTTTAGACATTCTACTAACTATAAGTAACTTTTCAACTACATGCAACTAACTGTCATTAGAGTATTAGTAGACTGTCAGCTTAAAGGAGAACTCCGGTGAACAATGAACCTTTGGTCTAATAAAACATTGGTACATAGTCAACCGTTCTCTGAGATTTGTTTTCATGATAATCGAATGTAAAGAGTTTTATCTCTAAAAACTGTTTAGCGTATAATGCTAGTAATGGGGGCATTGAGTAAGTAAAAAGAAATCGCTAGTTTATACCACTAACAAGGCTCAAAATAGCCCCACACTCACACAGTAACATAATGAGGCTCCATACATACAAAACGAAGCATTGAGAACTTTGTAAGTGTACAGACCGTTTAATAAAAAGATACTTTATGAAGACAGTTCACTTCGTGTATACAGACAGGAGCCATCTTAAAAAATAGTCTCGATAAGTCGATCCCCGAACGTCGTGCTGAGTGATCTGAACTCTATGAAGTTCAACGAACTTCTGAACTGTATGAACGGCGTTGGGGGATCGACTTATCGAGACTATTTTTTAAGATGGCTCCTGTCTGTATACACGAAGTGAACTGTCTTCATAAAGTATCTTTTTATTAAACGGTCTGTACACTTACAAAGTTCTCAATGCTTCGTTTTGTATGTATGGAGCCTCATTATGTTACTGTGTGAGTGTGGGGCTATTTTGAGCCTTGTTAGTGGTATAAACTAGCGATTTCTTTTTACTTACTCAATGCCCCCATTACTAGCATTATACGCTAAACAGTTTTTAGAGATAAAACTCTTTACATTCGATTATCATGAAAACAAAACTCAGAGAAAAATTGACTAGGTACCGATGTTTTATTAGACCAAAGGTTCATTGTTCGCCGGAGTTCTCCTTTAATATCTGCTAACACTTTATTTTGTTGGTCCCCCAACAGACATTCAACTGACAATAAGTAACTTGGCGACTACAAGTAAACTTATTCTCCTAACCCAAAGCCTAACACCTAACCATAACCTAACAGTTTACTGACAGTCTACAATAATATACTAATACTCTAATGAGAGTTAGTTGACTTGTAGTTGAAAAGTCACTTACAATTAGTAGAACGTCTATCGAAATAAAGTGTAACCATAAATTTTGGTAAGGCGTTATTGACATAACAGTATAACTCTCTGCAAAGCTACTGTGAAATGATACGAATTGTGAAAAGCACTATACAAATAAATTTGACTTGACTTTTTGACCAGGACTTGGCTGAAGGTCAAGTTCACCCTTTGGAACGATATATTCCAATAGTAAGGGTTCGTTTTTGACTCTAGCATGATTTGACGTTATTGCCATAACAACTATTTGTGTATTGGTTAATGCTAACTAATCTGTTTTAGTCATATTACATGTCTGCACTAGCCTGACTTCGTCATACTCATATTCTAGTCAGAATGTGAGTCTGAAACTGCTCCGTAGGGCTTTGATTATGAGGCGTGTCTTAACCGAACCAGGAAAAAAAACCCTCTGCACTCAATTGGATAGTTTCCCTCTGCACTCAATCGGTAGACCTACAGCCAATCAGAGAAACACAGTAAGTCAAGTACTTTGCATAGCGTAGTTTTCAACTATATAACTTACTTATTTTAGAAGTAAAATACCGAGTGTTGCTTCTTTTACTTGTTCCTCCATGAGTGCGACCAAATGAGAAACCACAATGACCACAGGCTTTTCATTACGTCCCATCTTCTTAGAGACCATCGGAGCCAGCTGATAAGTTACACTTTTGCCGAATCTTGTAGGAAGGACAGCAAAAATATCTTTCCGATCGACAAATGCCTTGATTGCAGTTTTCTGTTCGTCTATTACATTGAATGCGATGTAAATTTATTTTACAACAGACGCGGCAGAGG